AAAAAAAAAAAAAAACAAAAAAAAAAACAAAGATAGATTTGATCTGTGATATATGTTTTAGTGGTACTTCCCGCTGGTTTTTTTTTTTTAAACACAAATTACCCATACCATTCTAATGAACATGTATAGCAGGGGTTTCAAACTCGCGGCCCGCGGACTATTTGCGGCACGCATGATGATATTTTGCAGCCCGCTACATGACAGCGAAGATTAGTGTAATGCGGCCCGCGAGTTTTTGGTTTTCAACTTAAAACTACTTTGACTCCATTGAGATATCGTGACAGATAATTGTTTTGTATTTTCTGCTGGAGAAGGCATCTGGCCGATGTATCCTTTCGGTTGTCCTGCCGTTCATTTCAAGCATGGCCATATCTAATGTATTACCTTCACAAGACTTAAACAAAGTCCCTTAATATTCTTAATTTTAGGTGTTTTATTGTAGAAATTAATATCATTAATCAGATTTCTTATAAAAATACATATTTTTTTGACCCGATGGGGACAGGGAATCTTTCGGATAATTACATTTCCGGATGGCTTATTTTTACGGATAACTAATTTCCGGATAACTAATATTCCAGATACCAAAACCCTGACAATTTGAGAACATCGCTCCATTTATCAGTGCAGCAAGCATGCACCATGACGTGCATGGCTTAGCTGATTGATTGAACAAAAAAACCGATAGAGGCGGGATTTCCTGCTGCGAAAAAATGATGACTGATGCTGAGAATCAAATCCGCTGTCAAATCGTTCTTTACAGGCGTCTACTCTGTGATTTATATGAATTAAATGTTGTCTAATATTTTTTTTTTTAAATTCAGGTAATAGTTTACAAAACTGAAGTTCAAACAATGCGCATTTAATTATATTTAAAGAACCGGACCCTGTTTCGTTTGAACGGCTGGATTCGTTTTATACTCCAGGTGTGCAGATAATCGCATTAAAGTGAGATAATAGATTGATTATACTTGCAACAGAAAGTGGCCAGGATTTTTTCACGTTTTTGTCAAAGTTTCAGACAACTGTTTGATCGAAACATTTCTGCTGGCCGAGGAATGAGCATTTCTCTATTTGTATAGTTATCACCCCTGATTTTATCTTATGTTCTGCTGGACGCGAGACAGCGGCTTAATCCTTGAAACAAATACGTTGTTAGGAAATATCTTAAACTGGAGGTTCCCAAACTTGTGCAGCGCACAGGCACGTATTCACTTCTCCACGTCGACGCCAGGATATACAAATTAAAAAAAAATGATTTTAAAAGGGCACGTCGAGTCAAAAATTTTGTGAACCGCTTTACTACAAATCATTTCTATCGATTGAGTCAAATGCTTTGGTCAGATCAACAGAGGTCTTAGGCCGACCGCGTTGTTGCTCTTGTCATGTTTTTTTTTTTTCTGGAGCTGGAGTTCTGCACATTTCATGTCAGTTGTGCCCTGATCTAAGCGGAATCCACATTGGCTTTTAGGACGTAGTCCCTGTTCAAGGTTGGGCTGCAAACGATTAATTAACACTCTAGCAAAGATCTTTCCAGCGATGAAAGGGAGAGAAATGCTCCGAAAGTTTTCACAGGCTTGCTGACTGTCTTTCTCCTATATATGACTAATTAATTTTCATCCTTACATTAGAGACCGATCGAATTTCGGCTTCGGCGCCGAAAGTGTCCATTTTATCACTTTTGGAAAGCCGAAACCGAAACTGAAAGTTAACTTTCGGCTTTATTTCGGTTTCGGCCAAAAGAGAAAAGTTAACTTTCGGGGTTTTTTTTGGTTTCGGACGAAATAGATTTTGACTTTCGGCCATCCGGCCGAAAGTAACGTATGTTTTTGGTCATCTAATACTCAGCGAAAGCGATATTTAACAACCAACTAAGCCACATTTAAGAACAAACTAAACCATCTTTAAGATCAAATTAAGCGATCCTTGAGAACAAACTAAACAATATTTAAGAACAAGCTCGACGATTTTAAAAACAAACTAAGCAAGCTTTAAGAGCAATCTAAGCGATCTGTAATAAAAATTAAACGATCTTAAAGAACAAATTAAGCGATTTTTAAGAACGAACTAAATTATCTTTAAAAACAAAACAAATGATCTTTAATAGTGAACTAAACGATTTATAACAATAATCTAATTAAAACAGAAAACTAAATGTTCTTTAGGAATAAACTAAAAGATCTATAAGAACAAACTAATCAATCTTAAGGAACAAAATAAATTATCTATTAAAACAAACTTAGCGATCCGACCTTTATGAAAAAAAACTAAGTGATATTCAACAACAAAATAGGCGATCTTTAAGAACAAACTAAAATATTTTTAAATAACTATCTAAAGATCTATAAAAAATTAACTAAATGATCTTTAAGAACAACTAAGCGATATTTAAGAACAAAATCAAAGATCTTTAGGAACAAACTAAACGTTTTTTTTAATAAAACGAACTTATCGATCTTTAAAAAAAAACTAAGCGATCTTTTTTCAACAAACTAAATGATCTTTAAGAACAAACTAAAAGATCTTTAAACAAAAACTAAGCGATCTTTAAGAACAAACTAAGCGATCTTAAAAAAAAAATAATAAACGATTTTTAACATCAAACTAAGCGATCTTTATGAACAAACTAACCGATCTTTAAGAACAAATAAAGCGATTATTAGAAAAAAACTGAACGATCTAAAACAACAAACTAAGCGATCTTTAAGAACAAACTAAAAGATCTTTAACAAAAAGATGTTATATTAGATGTTTATTTATTAATATTCACGATTATCTCATTTTTTCATAAAAAGAATGTAAATGTTTATACTTTCTTCCATCATTTTCGATTATCTAAATATTTCATTTTCGGTTTTGTCTTCGGTTTCGGCCGAAAGTCATTTTAACTTTCAGTATTTTTTCGGTTTCGGCCAAAAGTCATTTTTAAACTTTCGGTATTTTTTCGGTTTCGGCCAAAAGTCATTTTAAACTTTCGGCCTATTTTCGGCTTCGGCCGTATTCAGAAAATCACCTTCGGTCGGTCTCTACCTTACATTACATGTATTTGCATTTTAGTATATGTATAACTTCATTTTTATATGTAAGCTGCGTTCAGTATATCATTTCCCCATGAATATTTGTGTTGACCTATCGTTTTATGCATTATCACATATCCATTACGCATAGCACTATCAGTATAAGTATTTCCGAAACAGTATATCCATTATATCATAATTATAAGTATTTTTAAATTTGTATAGTACTGCCCTATTAGTATATTTTAGCTTTATCAGTTGAAGTGTTATGACATCATTATATCTTTGACAAATCATTACTTGCATTGCCCCATTTCGAGTGTGTAACAAAGAGAATGTGCGCTCCATAGAGAAAGAGCGCAACAGAGAAAGTGTTTAACGTAGAGAAAGTGTTTAACGTAGAGAAAGTGTTTAACGTAGAGAAAGTGTTTAACGTAGAGAAAGTGTTTAACGTAGAGAAAGTGTTTAACGTAGAGAAAGTGTTTAACGTAGAGAAAGTGTTTAACGTAGAGAAAGTGTTTAACGTAGAGAAAGTGTTTAACGTAGAGAAAGTGTTTAACGTAGAGAAAGTGTTTAACGTAGAGAAAGTGTTTAACGTAGAGAAAGTGTTTAACGTAGAGAAAGTGTTTAACGTAGAGAAAGTGTTTAACGTAGAGAAAGTGTTTAACGTAGAGAAAGTGCTTTACAGAGAACGTGTACACATTTTGGTGTTTTGTTTTTATGTTGACAGAAAGGGATACAAAAGTATGTACATATTATCATGGATAGATGCCACTATGATCCTACTGCTTTTATTGTGCAGTCGACCATTACGAAAGCAGAAATACATAACAAGTCATTTATTGTGTGAAATCATACAACAGGTATTAGTTATGTTTAAAATTCCCACCGAGTTATAAGTTTGTGCATCCATTAAGACCTACGCGTATGATTATGAACATATATATACTTGAATGTGAAGAGTTCATGTTTATATAAAAGGAGAGAAAATTATTTAACCGTGGACAAAGTTACCATGGCAACGTATCTTTGTACCGGGGATATAAATCTACGTCACACCTCTGCAATAGGGGCGGTGTGTGGCCAAATAGGGCGCATGTCTTGGGTCGTGCCTTTACAAAGTCCAAACTTGAGACAATGAAAGTATTTGTTAAAGCCCTGTTTAAAGTGCTCACTGGCGGTTCTGACAATCTGACACAAGGAACTGTGGCGTACGTTGCGTCCATCCTAAGCCCCATTGTCGGACCAAAAGAAATTGGCATATTTCCGTAACCGGATAGGTCACAGCCTTGACCTTCGACTCATACCTTAAGACTAGACACGGGTTTTATTTTCAAATGTTTTTTGGTTTAAATATGTTTTTATAATTGTGATAAAAATGAATATCTACATTGGATATAAAAAAGACTTTCCCTCGGTTTATATCAATAAATAATCGTATAATGGCTAATCTCATCGGCAACACAACGTTTTCATGATATGCAGTCAATTTTGTATATTCTTATCTGTGTGCGCGCGCACACATACGTTCTTTCTGAGAACTCACATTCCAACAGCTGTCGCAGGTTTTCTCCTGCTTACAGTATTAAACAACTCCAACCAATGAGTGAAGGGAAAATTTTGAACAGAAGACACAGTGTAGACAACCGCGGATTTGAAAAATGGAAGTGACACATTTAAATATATAAGGCAACTTTTCTCTTTGGACACCATTTCAATAGCTGGCTTCAAAATGAATAGAACAATTCTCTTCAAGTTGGCTTGCTTATCTCTCTTCATCTGGGCAGTGTTGGAGTTTTTAATTCTACCATATTCTCAAAAAAACTTCAACAGTTTGACAGTTGATTCAGTAAAGACCATTGACCACAGTCCAGTTTTTCGTTCTCTTAAAAACGTGACGTATTTCAGCGCAGAAAAGAACAAAGCGGCCGAGAAGTGTAAACCGGAAACGTCTGCTGACCGGCAGAGATTATACCGGGATATTTTGAACGGGATTTCCGATGCCAAATTCCGGCCAGTCGACATCGATCCCGGGGATCTTCCCAACACCGCCCATTACGTGTGGTGTGGCAGTAAGCTCTTCCTGTACGAGAACTACTTAAGCGTCTTGTCCATTGTTCGAGTTTACAGGCCCATGAAGATTGTGTTTCACTTCAATCAACTTCCGACGGTGATAAACCTTTACAATTCGTGGTTCCAAGAATTGAGGCAATCGCTGCCATATTTGGTCTTACGACAGACGAGTTCCGTGCTCAGGTGCAATTCTTCAGATTCGCTAAACTTCGGGTTGGAACAGTTGGCCTCGAGTATAGGTGGCGGTATTTATTTTGGGGAAAGGGCGATTCTGACCTATGTTCCCAGGAAATGGAAACAGGAGAATTTTTTGACCTACTTAACTCATGGAACAAACTCGAGTGATGAAGTGATTATATTCGCTAGATATGGACTAGTCGACCATAAGGTCACACTTGAACAGTTCAAAGAAAATGTATTTAACGTGTCGTATGAATGTTTATCAGTGGATAAGTTTAATGAGGTAATGACGCAATTGATACTCTTAAAACCAAATGAAATCAGTGACAATTTATCGCCATGTCTGATCGCACCGAAGCAACTCTACCCAGAGAAGATCATCAACAACACGACTCCTTTTGGGGGAGTGGCCAGGAATCTGCATTACGGCACTTCAGAATTAATGGCCGCCCAACCTGGCAAGGTGCGACTAATTCTTTATTTTTTTAATGAAGTAATGGTTTACTCAGAGCGATCAGTGATCCATTTGGTTAGTGTTTGTGGCACTGTTGGGCTGGGGAGGTTGTCAAATGACGAAGTGATAGTTTAGCCCCATTTGAAATATTTCTAGATCAGAAGATAATCATATGATGTATGTGTATGGGCCAACTTAATGTTATGTCAGGCCAACACCCATTGTCAAATTCATCGCATAATGATTGAATTTCTTATTTTCATAGAATGTGCATTTGTTTTCCTTTCTGTTAAAAATGCCTTTGTGATACGAAATAATCGTGTTTTGTTTAAATTCGTGAATTCACGTCATTGTGTCCGGGAGAATCATTGCACGTGGCACTGGAACCTGTGGGGCTTTGACTCAGTGTTTATCTTAGATATTTTAATCAAGGGATGGGAAGAACATCAGATTTGCGGGGAGGGGAGCACATTAGGTTTGGGGGAGAGGGCACATTAGATTTCCGGTTGGGCCATGCTTGGGGCGCAGTTATTAGGGGGCAGACAGGAAAGATGTAACTAGGCGCAAGACTATCGGAAGAACAAATGAATGTCTAGATGGGATTGAATGGATGAGAAAGGTTATATAATTTAGAGGGATGGGGCTACAATTACTCTAGCTATGCTTCTGCCAGTGGCGTAGAAAAGGAGGGGGAATGGGTGGTCCGTAATGGGGTCATTTTTTTTCTTTTTTATGGATTGTTGGCATTTTTGGACAACAGCAGATTTTTTTTTCGTTCAAGCGAGTGTGGCAACATTTTGTTATAACAACCCATGGCGGCACTAATGCTAGCTAGGCAGCAAAGCAATGTATCGATCGGCAAAAATATTGCGATTATTTTTATCAGGAAATAAGGCAGAAATTAAGGGTGCCCACGGCCCTTGAGCTGAGAAGGTTTCTGTAAAAGCGCACCCATAAAAATTCGGATCATTTGAACAAAAACAAGAGGTTCATTTTGGAGTATACCTGAATTCATTTCTTCTCTTAACTAACATCTTATATTGTGGTGGAGGTTTGAACCTACACTCTTAAAACCCCGGCTAGTGCTTTGTTTCTATCAGAATTTTCCACCGGGTCATAGAATTATCTAAAATAAGAACTAAGGACATCTCTAGTATTGCCCCAGCCCAATGTTTGCGTCTTTGAAGGTATTCTTTGTCCTTGCTTATTCTAAAATTTGGAATCTTTTTAATCCACGGAAAATTTTTGATAAATTCAAAATGAAAAAAAAAAAATTCACGAGCACGTACAAAAAGTTAGTTTTGCATTTTTCAGTTAAGAACATATGAGGTGTTTACCAAACACAACATATATTTATTTATTTGTGAATGTATATGTGGGAACTTGGATACAAATACAAAGTGTACATTTTTAATATTCAGTGGATTGAAAAGTTTATTTTGAATTTCAAACTACAATAACCTTCTTTCGATAAATTACAAATTGCAACTTTTGATATACAACAAGATATTTTTATTTACCAAGTCCACGGATTTTAATTTTTTAATTGACGATTTATGAAAAATATTTTTCTCTAAAAATAGTAAAAACGTGTTTTTGATAATCAATTCCTAGTTCACATAGGAACAAAATATTTTTTTAAAAAAGTGGTTAAATTTAGCGATGCATTCGATTATCACCTTTTTTTTTTGTATTGAAATGGTTTTCTATCTATAGTCTAGTAGGTTTCACCAGCACTAAGTTTGATGAAAACCATTGCACTACCAACATTTCTTTGCTTAAATCACCATTAGTGATAAAGCACGTAAAGTACACAAATAAATTTAAAAAAAAATACAATTAAATGATCATATAAATCAACAGTCTTCCGCCTCTATCCGCAAGCTTTAAAAAAAAAAAGTTGATAATCGAATGCATCGCTAAAATTTAACCACTTTTTTAAAAATATATATATTTTTTCCTATGTGAACTAGGAATTGATTATCAAAAACACGTTTTTACTAGTTCTTTTACTATAGGGGTTTGTGTTATGTTTTTTTTTTTACATGGTGCTTAATTTCAATCTTATTTAAAAGGCTTTAGAAGTTGTTGTCTTCCAAATCCCGGGCGTCGCCGGGTATTTTTGGCTAGTATTCTATTAATTTTTAGCCCAACCTCCCATTCGCAAATCCTAACAAATTTTAGTTTCTCATTTTTAAAAGAAATAAGTAAATTATGTCCTAAAAAACACAATTAGAATAAATTTTTGTAAACATTTCGTTCCCCGATAGGATCCAAGTATCAGGAGGGATCTAAAGTCATACCCGTTTCCCGATGGGACACCGTTTTCCGATGTATCCCAGTATCAGGAGGCATCTAAAGTCATACCCGTTTCTCGATGGGACACCGTTTCCCGATGTATCCCAGTATCAGGAGGGATCCTTACCCCTTTTGGATCCCGATCCCGTTTGGATTCATAACCTGCTTTGGTCACAATCCGGTGGGATCCCTATGTTGTTGGGAAGTCGATCCCGTCGATATTCCGATCACAGTATGTTTAAGATCCCGTCGTTACCCCAATCCCGGTGGGATACCGATCCCATTCGTATCCAGATATTTCAAACACAATATGTTTCCTGTCCCGTTGGTATCGCGATCCCAGTGGAATCCTGATCCCGGTGGAATTCTAATCTCGTTTGAAGCAGGATCCTTAGGATTACAATATCTGAGGGATCGTGATACTTGTAGTTCCCGATCCCGGGTGGGTCATAATCCCTGTGTGACCCCCACATATGACCATGGGAAACATTGGTTATACCATCAAAAATACCATTGAGCATATCGCCAGGTGTAATGAATAAAGATAACATTAGACATATGTACCATTGCCTTACTAAATTATTTGTACACGTCAGCTACCGCACAATTTTTATGTGTGATATCAACATTATTTTTAAACATGCATTTTAGGTCAAGAGATTTGTTAGAGAAATATTTTTTTTTTAAATTATATATATGATACTGTAAGTAAATGCAACACTTAAACTCTTCGAAAGGTTGTGAAAGATGGCCAATTATTTGATCTTCTATAAATCTCACCTACATTCTTACGGTGACCTATGATTTGATTAGATCTTTTATTCTCACCCACATTCTGACTGTGATCTAGGACCCCAATGACCTGATCCCTGCCATCAGCCACCAGATCTCATTGAACCCAGAACCTGGCAAACCAGTTGTTTGGACATTCCAGCATTACCTGAGTGTCTTGTCTGCATTGTATGTTGGAGGTTTCCATAGGTAAGAACATGGTATATTGGAGGTTTCCATAGGTGAGAACATTGTATGTTGGAGCTTTCTATAGGTAAGAAAATTGTATGTTGGAGGTTTCCATAGGTAAAAACATTGTATGTTGGAGGTTTCCATAGGTAAGAACATTGAATTCATAGTATCTTGGAGGTTTCCATAGGTAAAAACATTGTATTTGGAGGTTTCCATAGGTAAGAACATTGTATGTTGGAGGTTTCCATAGGTAAGAACATTGCATGTTGGAGGTTTCTATAGGTAAGAATGTATGTTGGATTTTTCCATAGGTAAGAACATGGTATGTTGGAGGTTTCCATAGGTAAGAACATTGTATGTTGGAGTTTTCCATAGGTAAGAACATCCTAGAAACATTTAAAAGCTTTGAACAGCTCATTATTTTATGAATGTGTGTTGTTTTTTTTAAATATGAGGCAGCTGTTTGATTAAAAATTAATTTTATAATTCCAAAAAAAATTCATTGCATTTGCATTTAATTTATATCTATCCTTTGTCCGTTTGTAATCATTTGTGCTATAATTGTAACTGAGTGATTTCCTTTGGCAAATTAAATCAACATAAAAAAAATATCTTAAGGCAACTTTTGATGTTTAAAATTTAATTAATAACATAAATGGGATTTAATAAAAAAAAATAACAAATAACAACAACCAAGAATTGGCGTAGCTAAGGAGATCTTGTTTGCTGAATAGATCAACAAAATAGTTAATTCGTTAACGTTCCATGGAAAGTTTCTTTAGGCAAATGTTGATTATAGCCTCAAATCAAGAAACCATTTGCTAATATTTTAATATAATCTACTTTTATCTGCCTGCATGGACATGCATGGTATCTATAAGGCTACAACCTGTGTAAAATATGCAGCTTGAAAGAAAACGACAGAAACAGGGTAGGGGTCATGTTTCGTCTGGACGTCAATGAATGTGAGCCATGGGGTGGGTAGTGGCAACCTCATGATGATGATTTATAAAAAAACCATTGAGGGATCCGTTGCTAGGCAACCGTTTCGTCCCAGCTGCTTCGTCAAGTGTTTTCTAGGTAGAAACCCACTGTAGACATCCCTATTGGAGGGCATCTGACTCGTCCCCGTGAAGGGATGGGGAAGATTTTAGGACTTAAATAGACCATACCCCTCCTCTGGGGAAGTCGATAGTTGAGTCTATGAGCGCAGCATCATCGACCGACAGGATGTCTCTTGGGCTGGAGTGAGATCCGTTGTTAGCCGATTGAGTGTGTGATGTCGGGTGCTGTCCGGGAAAAATCTCCACCGTGCCGCTTGAATGCTAAATACTCGGGTTTTTTTTGTTTTGTTTTTTTTTGGGGGGGGGGTGTTGCTTTCGGGAAGGTATACAAAACTTGGCACTAGTTTGACGGCAAGGTGACGCATTTTCGTAATGTACAATTTCAATGTAATCTACAAACTATAACAAATGCTTCGTCTGCACACTATGATGCACATTCTTCAAACAGTAAAACAGCATTACAATATTTAGCCATATTCTTCACACTATGAAATAAATTATTTTATCCCCCCATATTCTATAAACTATATTATACGTTAAATTTCATGAGTTATAAACTTGGTATGATATTCTTAACAGAGTCTTTGTCCACGGGGACATTCCACCCACTGGCGTATGGTGGAACAAGTTGCAAGGAGAAAATGTCACATTTGTTTACGTGAGTTCTTGTAACCTTTTTGCACTGATTTATATAATTTTGTTTTTTACATTTAAAAGATAAAGAGTAAATATTGCACTCTCGAATGCCTGGTGTAAAAAAAAAAAGGAGCACACATTCTTGAACATTTTTCAAAGCTTCGCAAATTTGAAAAGTTTTACTTTTATTGAGAATATTAAATAACGATATTAAATAATAATATTAAATAATAATAATAAATAACATTATTAAATAATAATATTAAATAACAACATTATTAAATAACACTATTAAATAACAATATTAAATATCAAATCATTATGAATTTTTAAAAATTCTCCGTCTGTGACCTCATAATATTAAAAAAAAAAAAACGTACAGCCAATCAAATCACTTCTGTGAATTCTTGAGCTTCATTTTATATTGAACTCACTGCGACATTGACCTAACTGTGATATTGAATTCAATGCGACATGGACATCGCTGTGATATTGACCTCACTTTGCCCTTACAATGACCTCACTGTAAAATGCTTCCCCCCCCCCTTAACTGTTCTTTAATATTCACGTTGACCACATTAAGGTAATATTGTCTCTGTAGAATAAATTCATATTTTTCTGATGAACTTTATACCAGGCGTCACCTAAGATCGCCCAATGTCTGTCTCTGTCGTTTAGATGGACAACATGGAGACGATCTACCAGCAGAAAGCTTCGGTGTTAGCTCATCAGTCGGATGCCCTGAGGGCTCTCATACTGTTGAAGTATGGGGGCGCTTACCAGGTCAGTATACTCATCTCAGCTGAAATGGTTCTCAAACTATTTTAATTTGATCAAACATCTTATATATGTTAATTTTTATACTAGAAAACTAACCAGCTTTGCCTTAGTTTGTATTCGGAAAAAAACCACAACTAATAACTTGTGTTATCATCGTAAATGAACAGTTAATTTTTGAAAGTTTCTTATTTTAAGTCAGATTTACAATAATGGTGTCAACATTGAATTTCGGAAAAAAATTCTGTTGCAAATGATATTTAACTTGAGTTCAAGTAGAATTTTAGATAAAGACCAATCTAATTTTCAAAACCTGTCCATTTTTTTAAAAACATGTTGTCACCAATTTCTTATCTCTGGTCGCTTATTATTTAAGATTACATTTAAACTGAATTATGTGGTCATTACGTTATCACTAAGATAAGGGCAGCATAAAACTCATTCAGATAAATATTCAATTTATTTCTTTAATTTAAACTGTAAAAATTGGGACCCCTGGAGCCAAAAGAATTTAATCTTTATGTTTTATAGTAGTGAGAATTTTGTGTTGCGTAACTAACAAACTTTATTTTAAAAAGAATAAATTCCCATTAAATTATGTTGAAACCGCCAAAGATTAAGCGATTTATTTAAAATTAATTTGCTACCCCCCCCCCCTCCTCATTTCGATTTCCCTTTCACAAAAGATGTGGAAATTATTAGTTTGACATCCACGGACATTTTAAAAGGAACTTACATTGAAAATAATTTATATAAAAACGTCCAATGCAACAAGAAGCCTTGTTTGTAGGATAAGGCTGTGTGTTATTCTGCTTTACCTGTATTGATGAGATGTGCAGTTTGCGGGTATATTTATTATAGATGAAGGTTACGTTAATCATGGAAAAGTACGTGTGTTTTTAATTCTGTTTATAACCAGGTGGTAAGGGCGTGAAAAGTGTCTGGTGAATTAAACCATTCAAACAAACTGGGAGTTTGACATTCTGCTCTCAAAGAAAGAACTTTAATCGACAAGCATATATCCAGATTAAAAAATACACAAATGAGCCAGGTCTCAAGTAGAAATGTGTGCGTTCAGACGGGGCAGGGAGGGAATGTATATGACAAAAACAAGGAATGAGATGTAAAGAGAATACTCGCCTCTGTTTCAGCTCCAAAAATTATTGTTTACGAAAAAATTATCATCTTGCATTAAATATTTGTAAATGTTAAATTTATGAATATTACTCTTAATCTATCAACATGATCTAAAAATGAAAATTTAAAAAAATCTAACATATCTTACTCTCTAACTCTGTTACATCGTCTCTCAAAAGCCACCATATCATTAGCTCGTTCACCTTCTATAATTCTATGTGTCCGTATTTCCTATGTTGCCAGGACAAAGACGTGTTGTGGGCCAATCCAGTTTCCGAGCACATCCGGAGATACCCGGCGTTGATGAGTTACGACTGGCCGTGGTACGAGGAGTGGCCCAGGAGTAACAACATTGGGGTCATCATGGCCAAGCCTGGTTCAATGTTTCTCAGGAAACTGCTCGATTCTTACTGGTAAACGCCCAAAGTTATCTATTTATTTAAAGGAGCACCCCGAGGAACGTCATTGTACTGAGTAAAAGTTGATGATATCAATGCCATTTGGTACCAGCGATAAATAGTTGGAGGAAAAACAATTATAAATACATACTGGAACTTTAAGATGACTAGAATAGGTCAGCCCCGTAGAGAAATGATGAATCCTGGCATACCGGAAACACTCTTTTTGTCTTCCTTTCTTAGGTCTATCTTCAATGAAATTGTAACTAACTATTGTTCAGAATGGGTTTGTGAGTAAAAAATGATTTTAAAAATCTGACAGCTGAGATGTTGACTGATTGCATCGACCCTTATCAGAATAATTGTTTAAAATATCACAGCCACAATTATTATGTGTTGATATATCAGTTTCAAAACTGAGTGGTGCCGATAGAAATGAAATCGCTGCTGTGAGAACCAATGGCAGCAGCTTCAAACTCCTGCGAGTGTGAAATGGTCAGGTCACTACTTTTAATTCGTTCTTAGGCTTGTTGGTGCTCTCATGAGAATGTCATTGATTAAGACACAGCTTTAGGTTACAACATGTCTTTTACTCGTCATCATGAAATGGTTCATTCTTGTGTAATTTATCTGGCTTCCCATCCCACGACATATCACTTTGTGTCATCTGGCTTCCCATCCCACAACATCCCACTTTGTGTCATCTGGCTTCCCATCCCACGACATATCAGTTTGTGTCATCTGGCTTCCCATCCCACGACATATCACTTTGTGTCATCTGGCTTCCCATCCCACGACATATCACTTTGTGTCTTCTGGCTTCCCATCCAAAGACATATCACTTTGTGTCATCTGGCTCCCCATCCCACAACATCCCACTTTGTGTCATCTGGCTTCCCATCCCATGACATCCCACTTTGTGTCATCTGGCTTCCCATCCCACGACATCGCACTTTGTTTCATCTGGCTTCCCATCTCACAACATCCCACTTTGTGTCATCTGGCTTCCCATCCCACGACATCCCACTTTGTGTCATCTGGCTTCCCATCCCACGACATCGCACTTTGTTTCATCTGGCTTCCCATCTCACAACATCCCACTTTGTGTCATCTGGCTTCCAATCTCACAACATCCCACTTTGTGTCATCTGGCTTCCCATCTCACAACATCCCACTTTGTGTCATCTGGCTTCCCATCTCACAACATCCTACTTTGTGTCATCTGGCTTCCCATCCCAAGACATCACACTTTGTGTCATCTGGCTTCCCATCCCACGATATATTACTTTGTGTCTTCTGGCTTCCCAACTCACAACATCTCACTTTGTGTCATCTAGCTTCCTATCCCACGACATATTACTTTGTGTCATCTGGCTTCCCATCCCACGACATATCAGTTTGTGTCATCTGGCTTCCCATCCCACGACATACCACTGTGTGTCATCTGGCTTCCCATCTCAAGACATCGCACTTTGTGCCATCTGGCTTCCCATCTCACAACATCCCACTTTGTGTCATCTGGCTTCCTATCTCACAACATCCCACTTATTGTCATCTGGCTTCCCATCCCACGACATCGCACTTTGTGTCATCTGGCTTCCCATCTCACAACATCCCACTTTGTGTCATCTTTCTTCCTATCCCAAGACATCCCACTTTGTGTCATCTGGCTTCCCATCCCAAATCATCGCACTTTGTTTCATCTGGATTCCCATCCCACGACATTGCACTTCGTGTCATCTGGCTTCGAATCCCACGACATTTGCACTTCGTGTCATCTGGCTTCCCATCCCAAGACATCGCACTTTATGTCATCTGGCTTCCCATCCCAAGACATTGCACTTTGTTTCATCTGGCTTCCCATCCCACGACATATCACTTTGTGTCATCTGGCTTTCAATCCCAAGACATCGCACTTTGTGTCATCTGGCTTCCCATCTTACAACATCCCACTTTGTGTTATCTGGCTTCCCATCTAACAACATCCCACTTTGTGTCATCTGGCTTCCCATCTCACAACATCCCACTTTGTGTCATCTGGCTTCCCATCCCACGACATCGCACTTTTTGTCATCTGGCTTCCCATCTCAACATCCCACTTTGTGTCATCTTGCTTCCTATCCCACGACATAACACTTCGTGTCATCTGGCTTCCCATCCAAAGACATCGCACTTCGTGTCATCTGGCTTCCAATCCCACAACATCCCACTTCGTGTCATCTGGTTTCCCATCCCACAAAATCCCACTTCGTGTAATCTGGCTTCCCATCCCAAGACATCGCACTTCGTGTCATATTGCTTCCTATCCCAAGACATCGCACTTCATGTCAGTTGCTATCCCATCTCACAACATCCCACTTTGTGTCATCTGGCTTCCCATCCCACAACATCCCACTTCGCGTCATCTGGCTTCTCAGCCCATGACATCACACTACCTGTCACAAATAGTGACAGTGGAAATGTCCACGATCTGTTTCAGGATCGAACGGAGGCTTGCGACAAAGACATGGAGATGCATTTTTAGACGCCAGGTGGAAATACTCGTTATACTACTTACAGTATCCAAAAATCAACTGATAGAGACATGTTAGGAAGTCACAAAGACACACATCAGTAAGCAGATTTTTAAGTTTTTCCATATTAGCCGATGAAAGAGATGGTGTGTCAAGAACACAGCTATTATCGTTTGCGATTGGTTTTGATCACAGCAAAGAATGTGTATTGAAAATTCTTGAGAATTGAACAGATTTCAACAAATGAAGAAAATGACGACAACTGCAATGGCAGAAGCAAATATGAATCGCTCCAATCAATGTGGTTTGGACATGAAACATGGACGTGGACAAGGATATGAAGGATATCAATGTGGTTTGGACATGAAACATGTACGTGGACAAGGATATGAAGGATATCAATGTGGTTTGGACATGAAACATGTATGTGGACAAGGATATGAAGGATATCAATGTGGTTTGGACATGAAACATGTACGTGGACAAGGATATGAAGGATATCAATGTGGTTTGGACATGAAACATGGACGTGGACAATGATATGAAGGATATCAATGTGGTTTGGACATGAAACATGTACGTGGACAAGGATATGAAGGATATCAATGTGGTTTGGACATGAAACATGGACGTGGACAAGGATATGAAGGATATCAATGTGGTTTGGACATGAAACATGTACGTGGACAAGGATATGAAGGATATCAATGTGGTTTGGACATGAAACATGTACGTGGACAAGGATATGAAGGATGTTCCAAAAAGCAGGAAAGGTAGACGGTGTTTAGATGAAAATACGGAAGTCGGTGTTTAGATGAAAATACGGAAGTCGGTGTTTAGATGAAAATACGGAAGTCGGTGTTTAGATGAAAATACTGAAGTCGGTGTTTAGATGAAAATACGGAAGTCGGTGTTCAGACGAAAATACGGAAGTTGGTGTTCAGACGAAAATACGGAAGTCGGTGTTCAGACGAAAATACGGAAGTCGGTGTTCAGACGAAAATTCGGAAGTCTGTGTTCAGACGAAAATACGGAAGTCGGTGTTCAGACGAAAATACGGAAGTCGGTGTTCAGACGAAAATACGGAAGTCGGTGTTCAGACGAAAATACGGAAGTCGGTGTTCAGACGAAAATACTGAAGTCGATTTTTAGATGAAAATACGGAAGTCGGTGTTCAGACGAAAATATGTAAGCTTTTTCCCAAAACAGCTTTTGTTCCTTGCTCTGCTCATCGGTACAACCTAGTGGTTTATGATTTGAATTCAGTTGTTCGAGTGTTTAATATCATTGGTACCATGAAAGTTACCATCGACGTTGCTCTATGGATGTAAAACGTGGAAAGTCTACCAGCGTCACGCCATTAAACTAAACCATTTTCACACAGCCTGTCTCCGGGAACTCCACGGCATCAGGTGGCAAGACAAAGTCCCCAACACTGAGATCCTCGCTAGAGCGAACTTACCTAGTATCTTCACCACACTGAAGCAGTCTCAACTCCGTTGGATGAGATACGTAGACCGTATAGAAGACCACGGGCCCCCTAAACATATATTTTTTTGGAAAAATTACGATAGGCAAGCGCTTCCAACTCGGTCCAAAAAAAAAGTTGCACATACTCACTGAAAGCGGCACTAAAACCCTTTAGCATCACCACTACAAAATGGGCGCAGACAGCCCTGGACAGAGTCAGGAGGAGATCAGCTGTCAAGAAGGGGGCTGAATCTCATGAAGCAAGTAGGATAGCCACAACTGAGACACGCAGCCTATACCGAAGGAGCAGCATTAGATTACCGACTGCAGCAATTATCCCCTGCCCGCGGTGCCAGAGATTACTCCGAGGACGGATCGCACCAGCAAGCCACCTACGAGCTCACCGTAAACCACCCTCCCCCTAACACCCTTCCCCTAAAACCTTCCCTTTAACACCCTCCTCCTAACACCCTCGCCCTAACACCCACCCCCTTACACCCTCCCCCTAACACCCTACCCTTAACACACTCCCCCTAACAACCCCCCTAACACCCTCCCCTAACACCCTACCCCTAATACCCTCCCCTAACACCCTCCCCCTAACAGCCTCCTCCTAACACCCTCCCCCTAACACCCTCCCCCTAACACCCTCCCCCTAACACCCTCCCCCTAACACCCTCCCCCTAACACCCTCCCCCTAACACCCTCCCCCTAACACCCTCCCCCTAACACCCTCCCCCTAACACCCTCCCCCTAACACCCTCCCCCTAACACCCTCCCCCTAACACCCTCCCCCTAACACCCTCCCCCTAACACCCTCCCCCTAACACCCTCCCCCTAACACCCTCCCCCTAACACCCTCCCCCTAACACCCTCCCCCTAACACCCTCCCCCTAACACCCTCCCCCTAACACCCTCCCCCTAACACCCTCCCCCTAACACCCTCCCCCTAACACCCTCCCCCTAACACCCTCCCCCTAACACCCTCCCCCTAACACCCTCCCCCTAACACCCTCCCCCTAACACCCTCCCCCTA